CCACCATCAATCCTGAAAAATCCATGTCCGCTCCTGCCTCTCAAGTCCCAACAACTACCGATATCCCGTTATCTTCTGGTTCTGCTATAACTACATCAAGCACGAGCAAAAGTACGATGTCCGAAGAGAATGTTTCTAGCGGTTCTACAGCATCACAGGAGATTCAAGGGGTACCGCGCTTAGAAACTGTTCAAGTTTAAATTTGCGATGACGTTCTGCATAAACGCGCATGCGCATTTTCAATGCGTATGCGCGAGCGAAGGGCGCGAAAGAAACCGATAAGAGGTGGCGCGATCCAATTCAGAACGCACAGCTGGAGTGTATCGTTTAATTTGTTATTTTGTGTTCCGTATCGTGTATCGTGTTTCACGCGTAATTTCGTTTCCCTATAAACACAGATTCATTCAAATCTTACGGGAATAGTTCGCTTGTTGATTATCGAAGCGTTTAGATTAACTTCAAACGAACACGGGTTTCGAGTTAACAAAGCGAATGGTGCATACATACATGTTCTTTGAAAGACTTTTGCCGTTTCAATGGTATTTTCATGATAAATTTTTTTTTATTTTTTGTCAATCATCCGTATGTAAATTTTATCAAATGTTTATTATAAAAAAAAAATCACATGATAAATTTAACATTATATATAAATTGAATTTCGAATTTGTAATGTCATATTCTTGACATAAAGTATTGAAAATTAATTATATTCATTTTAAATTTAGAAATTTAGTTAATTAAATTATTTTAAGTTAATAATATTATGTTGTTAAGTTATTTTGTGATTTTAACCGTTTTAAAAAATTGTGAAAGTACAAGGAAAGGAGTACAAGGAAAAGTAAAAGGTTTTTTTATATATTTGTTAAAAAATATTCGAAAAATATGATAATCATTATTTGTAATTTTAATTCGTTGTATGTTGCACCATTCTTTCCATAACTTGAAAACAAAGGAACCCTATGTAAGTGTTGTTAAGCAGAGAAAAGAAGTATTGAATAACTTGATCCGAGTTTCTGTTCTTTTTTTCTCATTGTTAAAAGATGGATCGGTATCGTTAAATATTTTGCTTGTTTTTGAGACAGTAACGATAAGTTTTGTAATAAAAACGTCTGGTTTTTAATGGTTGGGTACGACCTGAGATTCGCATATTGCAATTAACAAAGAAAAATGCAAAATAAAAACTATCTATTGTATGCGAATAACTACTTAAGTTAATTATTACATTTTGTTCAAAACTATTAAATTTATATTATGCAGAAACAGAAATTTAATAAAGGTACTTTCTTTTGATACTATAATTTTCAAATCTTAAATTTTTTTTATTTGTATCATAAAATATAAATACATTTTCTTATCATTTATTATAAATTCTATATTCAAAACTTCAAGACAGTAGAATATATTGTATTGTTAATATTTTGAGCATTAGCATTTTTAATTTTAAAGAACATATATATATTATTTAATATCTGAATTTAAGAATTGTCCAAATAATTTTAGCCATTGAGGATAATGTGATAATAACGTTATTACAATATCTTCATTTTCAATATAAATATTTTCTAGCATTTTTAAAGTTGCATTTTTAGATTCATCCGTATGATGTATAGATTCTATTCGCAATAAGATTATAAGAGATTGTAAATTCCTTGGATAAAGATCTAAAATATCTTTATCTTGATTTTTACAATATTCCTTAATGCGTTTTAAAGTTGATTGTATAAAATTCATGACCGAAGGAGCATAATCTAATTGCACTAATAATTCTTTTAAAAAACCACATACTAACAAAAAGATATATGGAGATTTAATGATAAAATCGAATAATTGATTTATTAATTTTACATTTTCTGAAACGTCTACATTGTCATCTTTATTTAATTTAATACATGATGACATAAAATCGTGTAATAATGGTTGTTCTATTAATTTATATTTCTGTGATTTATATATAACTTCTATAGTTGAAATTGCAAGATTTAAATTGGAACTTTTCTGTACAGCATAACATAATAAGTGTTCATTTTCATCACAGTTTTCCAATTCTGTAAGTTTTACTAATAATTTTTCTACATAATATTTATAGCACGAACTTATAGATGTTAAACATATTAAAGCATTGGTTAAAGGTAACAAATTTTCATTTGATTCACAACTATTTAAGATATCATCCGTCAAATATTTCTTTAACAAATTTTTTAATAATGTTGAGGCATGTTTTTCATCCCTAAGTATTTTAAAATCTTGTAAATCATCATTAATTCTACACCATTCTCGTAAAACATCCTGAAGAAACATTAGATTTTGAAGTTACATAATAAATTATTTTATAAATTTTCATGTAGAAGAAAAATATACATACAATTACACGAAGTCGTACATTATAACGTTGATATGCTTCTTTTGAAACCTTATACGACAATAGTTTTGTTAAAGATGAACATAGGGCATCGATTATGTCAATAGATGGAAGGAACTTATCCTTTTCTAATAATATTTTATATTCCTTCGAATTTTCAAGATCTTTTGTAGCACTTTCACAACTGTGTAATATTGATTTCAGGATTCTTTCATCCATATCTGATAAATATCATTAAATAAAAATATTTAAATTTAGATTAATAAAAATAAATAATAATAAATAACGAGAAATATAAAAAAATATAATCATAAATTAAATAAAATGATAATTTTAAAGAATAATAAAAATTGTAAATATACTTACTAAGGTTATATGATTAAATATTGCATATAAATCCTGTTGCATTTCTTTGTAAATATAATTAATTTTGCTATCACAAAATGTTAAATTCATCATACTATAAGAAAGATATTAAATTTTAATTTTTTGAAATAAACATTGAAATTTTTCATAACCATTATTAAAAACCTAGTAGAACCTTTTTCAGATACTTACTTTCACCGAAATATCAACAGATCTAAATTTAATTAATTTATTTTACTAAATTTAATTTTAATTAATTAATTATATTTTCTAAATTTTTTCCTGTATATATTTTTTTCATTAAAATGTAAATAATTATTTTGTTAATGCACGTATAATATTTTAAATGAAAGTTAAAAAATATATATTATACATATATTTTCTGCTTTCTATATAAGTCTAAAAAAAATTAAAAAATTTAAATTATAATGATTATTTTATGTTCTATTTCTACGTTATATTTTTATACGTTATACGTTATATTTCTATATATTTTTAATATTTTTAAATAATTTTTTTATCTCTATCGTTAATTATAACGATATATTTAAAAATTTAATATCGAATATTTATTAGTTTTTAATTTTAATATTGATCATACTTCAGTTATGTATAAAAATAACAAAAAATATAATAATAAAAAATATTAATAAAACATGTTAGTAGAAATATGTATAATAATATATAATAATGGAAAAAATAATTAATAAGAATTTTATGTATAATTTGGAATTGCAATCATTGCATCATTGGTTTAAAAATGTTTCATCACAGAATCCTTCAATTACATATAATAATATATTTAAAATTATGAAAAATAATAACAATAAGACTGATACATCAAATATTATAAATATCAATAGTCCATTATTTTCAAAGTAAGATATCATAAATCATACTTAATATTATATAACATTATAACTAATGTAACTAATTATTTACATTATATTTAAGTTTTATTCAAAAGACACATATTAATTTTCATCAAAGAATAATTTTAAAAAATATTTTTTTACATTGGAAAATATATGTTATACATAAATTACATGCAAGAAAATCTAAATATAAAGCAGATTATTTTTATCACAAAAAATTACAAAAAAAAGTTTTGAATATATTATCAAAAAATGTATTATTAAAATGGAAACATATTGTTGTATCTACAAATGATAGTTGTAACAAATTTACAATTTCTGAAAATTATAAAAAAACAGAATTATATTATTCTAAATTTCTATTAAGAAAATATTTTAAATATTGGTATAATTATATCGCAATGATAAAAAAGAAAGAAGAATTATTACAAAAAGTTGTTACATTCCATAATTTATATTGTTTAAAAAAATGTATAATAAATTGGAAAATATACGTACTGTTACAAAAACGTAAAGAAATCGAAGAAAATAAAATTAATGAGGTAACATTAAATAATCAAAATTTCAATTATGATTTTTTTTTTTTTTTGATTCATAAATAATTTTAAATTTAGGCGCATAAATTTTATGCAACAAAAATTTTACGAACATTCGTAAAAACTTGGATTAACGTTTGCGAAATCAAATCGCAGAGAGATAAAATAGGAAATGTAATTACGCATTATAGAAATAAGTTATTAATAAAATATTTTAACGGTTGGAAGATATATTACAATTACAAAATAAAAAAATTAAATATTGAAGAGTATATTTCCACATACAATAGAAAAAGATTGTTAAAACGATATTTCAAACAATTTATTTTGGTAGTATTTTTATACAATCGATCGTATTATATTAATTTAAAATTTTTATTAAATTTGATTTCTTCTACAATAGTGTGTGAATGAATCCATCGCAAAAAAAATTGCAAATGAAAATGCTGAAAGATTTTATAATTTTAAAATCGTACAAAAAGTATTTCTTGCATGGCAAAGATGGTATAATAAAAAAATAGAAAATGCAACAAAAATTCGTGAAATAGAAAACATATTTAACAATACAAAAAAAAATGAAATATTTAATAATTGGCGTTTATATGTAATTCAAAATAAATGCAAAAGAAGAAAGACATTTGCAGCAAACAATTTCTATGAAAAAAAATTAATAATTAAAACTTTAAAAAAATTTCATAATTATGTTATTTATAGAAAAGAGAAAAAAATTAGATTATCTTATTTAAATGATAAAAGCGAAGAAATTATTCGACAATTGCAAATTATTTATATAGAAAAATGGAGAAATGCACTTTATAGTACTATGCAAGAAAAACAAAAATTAAATCAAGCAATTAAACATTGGAAATTAAATTTAACTTGTAAATATTTTTATAAATGGAAAGAATTTTCCTTGCAATACAAAATAAAAATGACCCATAAACAAAAATTGAACGAAATCGCAACTGGTTTTTTATTAAAAAAATTTATTTTACATTGGCATTCCAAATTACAAGATATTTTAAATATACGTAAAAAAGAAATTCTTGTGATCTCCACGATGGAATATAAAATTTTGAAAAAATATTTTTTAATTTGGAGAGAATATATTGTTCAAAAGATAAAAATGAATAATGAAATAGAAGCAGCATTAAAATTATATGAAAAGTTTGTATTACGAGAAGGACTTAAAAAATTGTTGAGAATTTCGCTTTGTAATATTAATTATCAACGTGATTTGCAATTGAAAAATGCAATGATAAGATCATTTGAAAATTTTGAAATTTTAAAAGAATATTTTGATAAATGGTACTCTGTAATTTATTTAAAAAAAAAATTAGAACCCGTTTATACAATTACAAATAGTAATGAATCCCAATTTATACATACTCAAATTTTACGTAACGATACATTTAATAATTTAAAAACTCGTTTAGTTATACCGGAATATATGATGAAAGAAGATATAATTTCAAACGTTTGCAATTTATTCGATAACTTTCCAGAAAAAATTGATTATTTCTTTTAATCATTTTAAAACAATAGTTTTTTATCCTAAAAATATAAATATTTATGCCAATTAAAAAAAAATACAGCGTAAATAGTCAAAAATAAATTTATAGAAATTATTTATTATATATATCATTATTTATGTACATTTTATTTTAAAATAATAGCGATTCACACAATATAATTATTATTTTATTGGAAACGAAGAAAATATATTAAAGAACTTTTATATAAAAATGTTTATATTTTATAAACATTTAGAAAAATGTTGAAATTACAAAAACTTCGCTAATATAGCGATTATGTATTATAGACATAATATGTACATACCATATTCATAACATAAGTTGCGAAATCCTGTTGCCAACGTGCGATAATTTATATTTCTAACGATATAATGCACATTGCGCAGTATCATTATGAAAAATATAAAGATTGAACGAAGCGTCATTGCAAACAATATCGTTCCACTTAAGTTTATTACGCGTGAAATAAATTTAAATAAAAATATAACAAAAAAAAAAATTAATATACATTTTAGATATGCAATATTATTTTTTTCGTTTCAATTTTTTTAATTCACTTTGTTGCATCGCAGCTTCGCCGAAGATTTCTTTCACTTTACGTTTACGTTCTTCATCATTTTTAATCTGTTGCTTTATTCGCAATTTTGCTAAGAATACTCGATCCCTTCGTATTTCACGAATAGCACCTTTCATTTCTTTTTTATATTTGTGCAATAATTTTTCTTTTTCGGCTTTCTCTTTTGACATAATCTTATGTTTTTTACTATCATATCTGTAAAAAATATATATAAAATTTTATAATTTATTTACGCACCAATGTTATTCAAAATTAATACATACATCGTTTCGATTCGCGGTTCGTACAATCTTAATGGTTTTGGTTTCTTTTTTTCAACAACAAGATATTCTAATTTTTTATTCTTCAATTCTTTTAAATCTTTTCGTAATCGTTCAACACGTTTCTTGACTTTAAATGGATACATATCGAAAGAATTTGCTTCGAGTAATTTTAAAATTGGTTCAAATATTGAATACACGATTTCTAATTTTTCAAAATGATTTTTAAATTCATATAATAGATTTATAGCCGTGAATAAAGCTCTTATTTTAAAATTATCATCCAACGGTCCATCCACCAAATCAGACGCTTTCATAAGCATATTAATTGGATCAATATCTAAATTAGTTTGATCTTCATTAAGTATTAATAAATTACTTAATTCTCCTGTTTTTTTAAAAGGTGGTATCATTTTTATTCCTTGAATTAAGCCTTTAGGCGTAGATATATAAATTATACCACGTAGAAAATTTATCACAGATGGCGCAAATCGTTCGCTTAATACAGTATACTGTAAATAAAATGATAATGCATATTATAATTTTTTCATATTTTATCATATTTTAAAATATAATAAAGTAAATTACCTCTAATATAAGAGTACATATTAAAAGACCTTTTGAAATATCTACTTTATTTTTAACTTGACATCTAAATAATATTTGAGACATAAATATTAAACAGGGAGTAGTAATAGGATGTCTGAAATCAGATGTTGGAAATATCAAAGAAACCAATTTAAAGAAAATAAGCTGAAAAAAAAAAATATTTTTATTAGAAGATTTATTAATTATAATATCACATAAAATATATATATTTCCTAATTAAATGTTGAACATACAGTGTCTAGATAAGGATATTTTTTTTTATTTTTTTCAAATTCTTTATGCTTTTCCTTAATTATTGCTTGTACGACAAATTTAGTATTTTCCGGATTTAAATGCGCAAGATCATACAAGAAGGGAGATAATCTAAAGCCAATACATAATTAACATAAATTATAACGTAAATAAAAAATTAAAATAAATTTTATTAAAAAGTTGCATATTACCTATCAACAATTTGACAACATTTGACCACACTTTCGACATCATCTTCTATAGCATGATTATTTAAATGCTGTAGTATAAACAAAAATAAATTTGATAATTTTTCTTTATTTATACTATTTAATGACCAATGATTGCATTTTATTATACGATCTATGATAATTGACTGATAATCAGCATTATGATTTTGTAAAAATTGTTGTAATTCTTCAAAATTTTCTGGTGATTTATAAACATAAGGTAATTCTTTTCTTGCATTTTCCATGATTTCTTTTCTTTTTAAAAGATCATCTCTAATTTCTTGCACTTTGATGTTGCAATTTAATTCAAGAACATTTAAATTAGCCTTTGACTTTTTATTATTTTTATCATTTTTTTCTTCATCTTCACTGGAGTATTCCGATTCTTTTAAATCCGACAAATTATCCTCCTCAGAATTTTCTGAAACTTCTTCATTGGAATTTTTATTTAATTCACTTTCAGCAAAATTTTTTATTTTTTTTCTTTCCTTTATACCGCCGTTCATTTTAATAACATTCAATTCTTTATTCGTATCCATATATATATTTTTTTCATCATTATTAATAATTAAATTATTTTCACTAAAATTATCATTATCATAATTATCATTATCATTTTCAGTATCACTAATATCTTCATTATTTAAAAATTGTTGTATATTTTTAATTGAATTTTTTTCATTATCCGAAGCTTCATCATTTATAGTTTCTAACATAAAACCATCATCAAGATCATCCGCAGATTTATGCTTAATTTCATTATTCGTATTATTTATAAGTCCTTTCATTCTTGCCAATCGATCTGCTTCTAAAGCCTCTAATTTTTCTTTTTCTTCTTTTATCGTATCTTCTTCAGATTTTAATTTATCCGATGGCATACCCTTAGCCTCAAATTTTAATTCACGCACAGCAATATCATAATCATCAGCCTTCGTCTTTATAACTTCTTCCTCAATATCTTTATTAGTTGCCGACACTATCGGAAGAAGATCTCTCCATTCAGAATCAAGTTTTTCCGTTAAATCTATGGTTCGTTCACGAATCTTTTGTTTCTCAGCTTTACGTTTTTTTGACTCCGCTATAAGTTCATCTATAATGTCTTTCCTAGATTTTCCAGATTCTGATTTTGATAAAATTCCACCACCAAAGTGAACTTCACCAACAAATTTATCATCTAATTTACCAGTTCTATTTTCATCATCGCTATATTCATCATCACTTCTTGGATCATCAAATTTTTCAATTTCTTCTAAAGTTTGACCTTTATGCGTTAATATTTCTTCATCATTTAAATTATAAATACTCTGTTTTTTATGAGCTTTCATACGTTCCGCTGCAAATCTAGCCAAGGCTTTTTCTTCTTCATTCATAAATAAATTTTTTTCACCTATACGTTTGTCTAAAAACAAATTATTTTTATTTTTTAGTTTATATTCTTGAAGAAGCGTTTCTTTCCGTTTTTTAATTGCTTTTGCACGTGATACACCCGGAAGTCCTTTATCCGTTTTATCTTTTTTACCTAATACATTTTGTTTAATCTTATTTATATGCACTTCAAATGGATTTAAAGATTTTTCGTTTCGCCGATCACGTTTTTGTTGGGAAATTTCTGATAATAATTTCTTTTTCGCTTTAGCCATTTTTATTATTAAAGTAAATTGAGAATAAAAGATTCCTGAGAATAAAATATTTTAACACACATTGATTTTAATTTTAAAAATTAATTTATATATATTATGATTATATTTCGTGATATAACTTACTTTAGAATATGTACCACAATTAATTCTTCAATTAATTTTCACAATTAATTTTTCAATCAAAATACATATATATACATATTATAATAAGTTTTTAAAATATAATCTGTTATTATAACCTTTAATTTTATATAACCTTCCTTTTTCGAGACAAAAATGTACGAACACCATTTAATATTTATATATATGCAATCTAAATTATAGATCAAAGATAATATTAATAAATTAAACAATTAAATTAATTTTTAATATTTTTAATATTTTATTCAATTTAAATTAAAATTATATATTTTAAAAAATATTCGATAAGACTTCTTATTTAGACGTGTTACTACTACCCACGTGCATTCTACTTTATCGATATTACCAATCAAAATTTTGTGTTTATAAATCGTATCAATAAAGTTTATTGAATTATTATAGAAAAATACATAAGTACACTTTTATAAATATATCACTTTTGTATTATTTTTTATATT